TGAGCCACCGTGCCTGGCCAATGCTTTACTTTTGATTTGCCTCATAGCTACATTCTAGATCTCAGCCGTGTCCACTTCCAAGTCTTGGTAACAGAAGACCTAAAAAGCCAGTCACTTGCTTAATAAAAATTTTATGAAATTTAAGTCATTGACATCGTACAATTAAGGCAAGCAGATCAATCTTTATGAGGTTTCAAACATGCTGCCAACTTACCATCCAGATCTAAATCAGACTGATTGACACTTTGGGTACCACATCACCAGAGGCATGGATCATGTGATCCCTCAGGCCAAGTATCCTAAGAATCAGTGAGCTCTGCTTCTGAGTAAGACTTATCTATGAGCCAAGGTATTGATATCCTGACCACTCCCTTATAACGAAGCCTTCTGTAACAACCTGAGCAGGAAAAGAAGAGTCACACTCAGGCAACGTAGGTACAGATCCCTGCAGGATGACACATCCTCAGCATGTACGTTTGCATGCTCCGGGTTCTTATGCTGATAGCCTAAGTCATGTGGAATAACTGTTCATAAACTCTATAGTGCTATGCAAATGTTGGCTTCATGCCTGATCAAAAAATAAATGTGTGTATATGTGTGTGTATATATGTGTGTATATGCTTTTAGAAATAATGATGATGATAACTTGTAGTATGCATAACATGTGCAAGGAACAGTTCTATGAGCTTTAAGTATGTTATCTCATTTAATACTCCTAACAAACTCATGAAAGGGAGGTTATTAAAATCCCCACTTTACAGTCAAGGAAACTGAGGCAGTGAGATTAAATAGTTTGTCCTATATTATATAAACAGTATCAGAGCTAGGATTCATCCTCAAGATGTCTGGCTCCAAAGCCCCAAAGCTAACTTCCAAGTACTTTCTCCAAGCTCAAGCTGATTCTCAGAGGCAGATCTACTTTGAATGTGTGCTCCACACAATGCACACCTAATGCACGCACCATACTTAGAAACACACACACATACACACACACACGTAAACGATTCCCAGTGACAAAGTGGTGGGACACACGTGAAAAAGCTAAGAGTCTTCTGTGTTTCTTTGTGCAAACCTGGATGCCTGGAGCTCATAAATTAACATTGCTAGAGGAAGAAGGAGAACATTTGGGGGACCACACTTCAAGAGCGAGAACTGAGAGGTAGGCACCTCTAAGAGAATAAGGTGCCAGGTGGTGGTAGGAATTCACTCCCACCCCATTTCTAAGTCATATTCCACACTAGGAACAGCTCCCCTGCGCCCCATGGAGAAAGGCAGATGAGGAGCTGCCAGTCATGCCCTGTCACAGGACCTATGTGGGTGTCAGGAGACAGATCCTTTCATGCCCAGGCCCTGTCTCACAGCTGGAGGCAGAGCCCAGGCCAGGATAAAAGGGCTCATGGCCAGAGCACCCCATCCACTCACCTCCTGAGGTGCTGAAGGACCCTGTGCTGCCTGTGACCTCGGTAAGTGTCCACTGGGAAGAGGAGCAGAGGCTTCCACAGAGGGATGCCCAGACCAGGGCAGGAGGGAAGACCGGGCAGGGCTTTGTTGGGGAAGGGTAGCTGGATTAGAAGAGGTAGAGAATGTCTAGAAATTCTGATGGAGTTCAAGCTGTGGGGCAGGAGAGATGGGAAGCACCTGGATGGCTTGTATGTCTGTGCTTCACGTGCTAATCCAAATTAGTTCTGTATTTTTTTTAGTGTCTCCCATTGCAGATAAGTTAAAACAAACTTTCCTTTCAGAGAGTAGATCTTAGCAACTCAACTGTATCTCTCCCCCAAAGCCTGTACTGGGATTATAGTTCTCAAATAATGGGTTCTCAAATAATGGAGACCAGAGACCAGAGGAAGCATATTTGGAGCTTGTTAAATACAGAGATACATGGCCTTTCATCAGGAATCAGTTGGTCAGGAGTGGTGTCTGGGCATCTGATCAGACACCCTGATGTTGAACAGCAAGTAACAAGTTGAAATTTGTGGTTGCCAGGGTGGCAGATGGAGGAGTCTGTGGGTTCTAAGAGGGAACTTCACTAGGCCTGGTTCACCAGACCGGGAAATCAAGGGTCACGTGTCAGCTTGCTGCAATTAGCTTTAGACCTCATTTCTCCATTTATAATATGATTTGGGATAGCCAACTTACATAATGACCCTTTGCAATTCTGACCATAATATATTGTGTGTTTGTAACAATTAAATACAGCCATCTGGGAAGCTCCTCCAAAAGGGAGTCTTTATTTTTATTTTATTATTTTGTTTCATTTATTTTGAGACAAAGTGTCATTCTACTGCCCAGACTGCAGTGCAGTGGCGAGATCTTGACTCACTGCAGCATTGGCCTCCTGGGCTCACACGATCCTCCAGCCCCCGCCTCCTAAGTAGTTGGGACTACAGGTGCATGCCACTATACCCAGCTAATTCTTTTTTAGAGATAGGATCTTCTTGCTTGTTTTTTAAAAAGCAGAACTGCAGACTTAAACTGGCTCCTAGATTGCACATTTTCAGAATTCTGAGTGGTGCAGAAGGGCACACTTCAGTCAGATTCTGTGAATGTCAAATTGCCTTGTCCATTTAAAGGACATTAATTTTGGGCAAGTTTGTTAATACCGTTGTCCTCATTATCTTGCTTGGTTAAAATTAGATAATCTATTTCCATTTTATAAAAACATCCTGATGATCCTATAAGACACTGTGAAAGCATCTGACAAAAAATTTTAGAGATAATTTCTCTCTGACTTATTTGAACAGGTTTTAAAAATGTAGCAAAAATAAATGATGGTAAAAAAGGCAATAAGGGTGGTCTCTGTGCCTGGCTCTAACTTGCTATTTGACTCTCTTTCAGCTCCTGAACACCCACCGCCGAAATGTCCTGCCAGCAGAGCCAGCAGCAGTGCCAGCCCCCTCCCAAGTGCACCCCCAAGTGCCCCACCCCTAAGTGTCCCCCAAAGTGTCCCCCTAAGTGCCCTCCAGTCTCTTCCTGCTGCAGTGTCAGCTCCGGAGGCTGCTGTGGCTCCAGCTCTGGGGGCTGCTGTAGCTCTGGGGGTGGCGGCTGCTGTAGCTCTGGGGGTGGAGGCTGCTGTCTGAGCCACCACAGGCGCCGCAGGTCCCACTGCCACAGACCCCAGCGCTCTGACTGCTGCAGCCAGCCCGCAGGGGGCTCCAGCTGCTGTGGAGGGGGCAGTGGCCAGCACTCTGGAGGCTGCTGCTGAAGTGGACTCTGCACCTAGAAGAGCAGAGTTGGGTGAAACGAGTGGTCAAACATTTCCTCCTCACCTTTCTCCTTCTGGGCCTGCAAGAGTGGCTGAGATGCCCCCGTGAAGGCTCTGAGCTCTGGCCTAGAGGATCCCTCTGCCTTGGGATCCAGAAACTTGATTCTTCACCCACAAACCTATCTGCTGCCCCTGACACCAACTGTGTTGTCTACTCTGGGATCTCAAACCACAGATTCACTCTCCAGCTCATTTCCTGCAGCCTCAAGTGAAACAATAAAGCAAAAGATCTTCTTGCCACTCATTCTGGACTGTTCCTTGCCTGTTTGTGTCTCTAATATTTTTGTCACTGCTCTCTAATTTCCTGCTGCCTGGAAGCTTTGGAAATCAAAGATGTGCTAGTCACATGGCTAAAGGTAGGGTGGAAGGGAGAGAAAAACATCTCTGGCTCCTACTCTGACACCTTATGTCAGAGGAATCACTACATGGCTCTGCCTGTGCCCCCTCTCCTGGTGTTTCAGGAACACAGAGCCTTGTGCTTTGGGCTTTCTTCAGGGTGCTACTCAGTCTCCAGGGTGTGGCAGGGAGACAGAAGTGCACTCCATCCTTTCATCCATCTACCCCTCCTCGCCTTTACAATACTGCCCACTCACTCCCAAATTTCATTCTCTTTCAGTAAAAAAAAAAAAAAAAGAGAAAATTATACATAAACTTTCTGCAAATAGACCATGAATCTTAGACTATTCTAACCATAAGTATGCATAGAACATGTGGTAAGTATGATGTGACAAAACTTAAAAATCCATAGAAAAGGAGTCAGTATGTTAAAAATCAATGTCTTTCTTTTCTCTCCCACAGTCCCCAATCTTTCCAGTCAAACATTTCATCTCTGTATTTTGTAAAGAAGTCCTGATTTTTCATCAATATTTTTTTGAATTACAAATTTTACATGGGATTGAATAATTGTTTTTTCAATTGTTTTTGTGTGTATTATGCCTCAATAATTTTACTATGAACTAGATAAGTGGGCAATACCCTGCACTGATTTTTTTAATCTTGAAAACCCCCGGTGTCTGGCAGATCAGACAGCAAGAACATGTAGGAATAATCTGATGTGCACCTCACAAATGCTGTGATTAATACGACCTCTAGATGTCCCTGTGGCTTTGGTCAGTCACCTGAGGGACATCCAGTACACTGATTCTCTGCCGTGTATCTGCTTCTCGACTATTCTGGGAGACTGGATGAGGGATATATTTCCTTTCGCTTCAGTAACAAGAAGGAGCTCAAGCACTGCACATATTGGGTGACCCCTCCAAAGAATTCAGCTAGCATATTAATGAAGATGGAGCTGATTGGT